AATGCGGGACCCACCAACCCCCAAAATCTGATCTCAATTTCTTCTGCTCATGGCGAGCCGGAGCAAGTAAAAGATTTTACCGGGACCTGTCTTAAGCCCTCAAGAAAGCTTCGAAGCAGGTCGTTTTTCGGCAAGCAATATATCCTTCCAAGCTTCGTAAAACATCCATGTGATGCCGGATGAAGGCATGACTTTGAGGCAACTCGCGGCCCATCCCCTGTAAAGGCCCGTCGGGCCCTCCTCCCTGAATACTTCCGAGAGAGCAGCCGCCATGTGGGGCGGGCACTTCCCTTGGAGAGCCCCCACCATCAGCCTTTTCCTAGCTACCTCAAGAGGGTAACTGATTGTGCTAGCTGTCAAACCTGAAAAAAAAATAAAAAATAAAAATAAAAAAATATAAAAAAAAAATAAAACAAAAATAGAACCCTAAAATTGGCAAAATTGATAAAAAAAAAATTGATTTTTTGCTGCGTTGACTTAAACATCGACACGTATTTGACACAAACTTTTGCCTTTCGTTTCTTTTAAAATTGACCCCAAATGAATTTCTGGGATACTAGCATAATAGGAAGCAGGGATAGGTAAAGCCATGACTTTTACCGGAAAGGGCCCCAATTAACAGCATCTCTACACGACTTAAAGATTCCTTTTTCTTAGCCGTGCAGTATGATTTCTTCATTGTTTCGTACATGAAGTAGTAACATGTGCTGTATGGAAGCATGCCAATTAAAGTTGGGGAGATCCCGGAATAGAAGGCCCCAATACCGCCATCCTTGTACATGCTGCGTACAGCGATACTTAGATTCGGATATATGTCGGGACTGACTGTCAATCTGTCCTGTGTAAGATGAAGGACCAACGGAAATTTGATTAACTAAATGGGAAAACAGTGAGAGAGACGAAGAAAAAAAAAAATCAAGTCTTAAGGCTATGTTTGGTATAGCGATAAGATAGCTTATAGCTTTAAAGTGAATTTCGAGCTTATAGTTGATAGTTTATGACTTATGACTGAAATGCTAGCTTATATGATAAAAGTGTTGCGTAAAATTAGTTGAGCTAAAATTAAAATTTCAATGGGCTTACTTGAAAAGCTACCCCAAGGAAGCTAATGATATAAGCTCGAGCTTTTGTCTTACCAAACCAAGCTTATTTGAATACAAGAAGCTTATAAGTAATCAAATAATGCTATGTTTGGTAAAACAAATTGATAAACTAGCTTATAGCTTATAAGTGGTTTTCGAGTTTATAGATTATAACTTATGACTTGTAGCTGAAAAACTAGCTTATATAATAAAAGTGTTTAGTAGAATTAGCTGATAAGCTAGTTGAAAAAAAATTTCAACGAGCTTATTTGAAAAGCTACCTAAAGAAGCTTATGAGATAAGCTCGAGCTTTTGTCCTACCAAACGAAACTTATATAAATATAAGAAGCTTATAAGCTAGCTTATTTGGTTACCAAACACACAACATAAGTTATAAGTTAGCTTACATGCTTACAAAACACAAGCCCAAATCTACCTACTACTCTTTCCCTTACGAGCAAAAAACTCATGAACATACCTTCAAAACTTCAAGAGGATGACAGGCGAGAGTGCTAACAATTCCAGCAGCCGCACCAGCCACGGCAACTGGAGACAACCAGGACAGGGAAAAACTTAGACTGAGATTTCCAATGTTAAGACTCGGGTTTTCAGTTGATTTCCATTTCTCTTGAGCTGAAGTCATTGCTCGCTTCACATATTCAAATGTTCCAAGCTCAATTGCCTGAGTGGGAACTATCCGTAGCATGTTTATTGCGTTACCAGCCCAGAGTCCTTGCCAACCTTGTTGTTCGATGATCTGAACGAAACTTCCATATATGTTTTTAGACCCGACACCAACCACCATTCTTGTCCTGCAAGTTAAAAGTGATTATAAAGACCACAAAAGAAGACTGTTTGTCAAATATCTATCACTTAATACGCATCGTAAACCACAATAGGATTCTTTGGCCAACCAAGTAAAAAGTAGTTTCACACTTTTACTCGAAGGCCTTTTTCCTAGAAGAAAGAGTTTTTTGGGTATCAAGCGATTGTTTGCTTTAGGAAAGTCTTAATGAAAATCCATTAGATTACAGGTGCTTGTTCCTTTCTCATAATAAAGTTACAATATTAATACTACCAAGAGCATCTTATACATGTAATACTATCCTGTATACATATATCAGGTTCACAACAAGAGACAAAGTATGAGTTTTATTTTGCTTTTTCTTTCGAAAATCTTGAATACAAGGTGTGGGATGCATGCATAGACAGTGTATGGTAATCGAGTACCACAATTATGTGATAGATATCTCCAATCAAATATAAATTAAAAAAAAAAAGAAACCAGATGAAGAGAAAAAGAATGATAAAAAAAACAAAAAAAAGAAAAGACAACCAAATTATAGGTTTATGCAAAACAATTGAAAGCAACCGACCTGATAGTCTCAAGAGGGGCAAGAATGGCTTTGGTCATAGCCCCGGCCAAAGCCCCACTAAGGAACTCACCAACTTCTCTAGTCCTCATCAAATCCTGAAGCATAATCAAATAAATTTAATTTTCTTAATTAACCCAAATGTTCAAGCCAGCAGAGCTGTCACTGCCAATGGAAATAAAAACAAACATTTTTATTCCACTCCATAATTTTTTTACAGATCCATAATCCATCGAATCAACCCAGCAAAATAAAGTATACGACTGAAGCAAATAAATAATAATATCAATTATGCAGTTACAGTACATGTCTGTGAGCTCAATTGAAACAGTAGAAGTTCCACAATACATACTGCTAAGAAGTAGTGAGTGAAAACTAAAATGCTAACTATATATCTAATTTTAAGGAACAGAGATTATCTAAACCAGATAATTGAACCCGATAAAACTATACGACTGAAGCAAATGAACAATAACATCAATTATGCAGTTACAGTACATGTCTGTGAGCTCAATTGAAACAGTAGAAGTTCCACAACACATACTGTTAAGAAGTAGTGAGTGAAAACTAAAAATGCTAACTAAATATCTAATTTTAAGGAACAGAGATTATCTGAACCGGATAATTGAACCCGATAAAACTATACGACTGAAGCAAATGAACAATAACATCAATTATGCGGTTACAGTACATGTCTGTGAGCTCAATTGAAACAGTAGAAGTTCCACAACACATACAGCTAAGAAGTAGTGAAAACTAAAATGCTAACTAAATATCTAACTTTAAGGAACAGAGATTATCTGAACCGGATAATTGAACCCGATAACAGTATACGACTGAAGCAAATGAACAATAACATCAATTGTTCAGCTACAGTACATGTATGAGTACAATTCAAACAGTGAAGGTTCCACGACACATAGCTCTATGTGTAGTGAAAACTAAAATGCTAAAAAAAAAAAAAACTTTCATTTTACAGCACGGAGGTTATCTGAACCGGATAATCGAACACGATAATCAAATTAAAATGCACAGCAATAGAGATTCGGGACCTGAAGTGCTCGTCCGACATCGGGAACACGAACGACCAGATCGAAAGGAGAGGATTTCCCATTGGAAGGAGGATTATTCAGCTGAAGCTGGAGTCGCAGCTCCTCTTTGGGCGCCATAAGCGCTCCACAAATATTTCCCATTACACAAAATGCATTCTTTTTCTGCGATTCAGATTCGACCGCCATTACAGATTGAGAACAGTGAAATAAAACGGCAAAGCGACACGAATTCGAATGCAAAATGAAGTGTTTTAATCCAGAAGAGAAGGAGACGGTGAACAGAGATAAGGTGCGGAAAAGAGACGTGCCTGGTGGTGGGGCTGCGGCTCGGCCGGAGTCTTTTGGACCATCTGCGAGTTAATGTGAGGCGTCCGGAGAACCAGCCACGGCACCGCTACCACCGAGAAAGAGAGAATGGGAGATATTTGTGGGTTCTTGTTGTTTTGCTGCAACTAGAAATGGGAAAAAGTTGCCTAGAAAAGGGATAGACGAGGTCAAGGGGTACTCGTATGACTTCAATTCACTAGGGTTTTCTCTTTTGCACTTTTATTTTTGTATTTATTTATTTATTTATTTATTTATTGGGCAAGTAATTATTTGCAATATTTAATAAAGAAAAAAAAATTGTTTGACAATATGTAATACAAAAATTATTTTACGCCAAAATAATACACCGTCCGAAAATTTAAAAAAAAAATGTTAGAAATTTTGAAAAAACAACAAGAAACCTAAAAAATACTTCAGACAGTTGCTAAAAATATATATACCTACTTCCCACTTTGTATGTCATTAATCCATCCTTATATTAGACTGTGTCGTCACTATGAAGCTCCAATGTTGATATGGCGGTAGAGGGTTGCTCTTGATGTGTCAAAATTGACATGAACTGTAATGGGGCTACCCTATTGTCGTTGTCTTAAAAATTCAAATTTCTCGAGTAATTCAATTTTGGCATGAGTTGCAGCGGCACCTATATAGTGTCGCCGACAAATGACCTCGTCTAGAATTTCTTTGGTGGGGTTACAGTTGCATGTGCGATATTAACGCTTGTCATTGGAAGCATAAAATACGTGATGGGTGTCTCTAATCATGTTCCCTGGATATAACACACTTTCAATGTTGATTTGGTCATAAGTTGCTTGTTTGATGACGAGTTAGTGCATGTGCATTATGAATTGTCTTCTATAGTAATCATCTTAATGTTGATATGATAATGGATAGTTGTCCTTAATGAGTCAAAATTGACATGAAGTGCAACATGTATGCCCTATTGTCGTCATCTTGAAAATTCAAGATCCCTGAGTAATATAATCTTGGCATGAGTTGCAGCATCACCTACATAGTGTCGCCGGCAAATGACCACATCTAGAATGCGGTTGGTAGGGTTACTGCTGCGTAAGTGTTATTTTCGCTTGTCAACCGAATAATCCAACATGTCAGTAAGTGTTATTTCGATTGTCATCCAAATCATCCAATATGTGATCGGTGTCTAGTCATGTTCTTCGGAGATAACATGGCGTCAATGTTAATTTGAGTCTTAAGGTGCTTGTTCGATGGCAAGCTAAGACCTTTGTCTTTTGGATTATCTTCTCTAAAACAAGTCATCTTTGCATTTATTCTCTAAAACAAGTCATATTTACATCTCTTCCATAAATATAATTGCTCTTAAACTATTGGCGCTTGTGAAGTTCTCTAAAAGTTGAGCCATCTATACAAGATGCAGTGGTGGCGGTGAAAGTGACTGTTGGTGGTGGAACTTTGGCATATTCTAAAATCTCCTATTAAGTAAGATGGTGAGTAGATAAGTCGTGAAAACATTGAGGTCGAAGCAATTTTTTTTAGGGTTTTATTGACTTTTTAATTTTTCTAGCGTCATTTTCAACGTTTTCTCAAGTTTATGACAATTTTCAAATTTGACCCCTTTTATAACACATGTTATCTCCTTTTGAAATATCTTTCAAAGCCAAAGGAAGTTTAAACAAATAAAACTTTTCGATGATTTATATAATCTTAACTGTCGGAGGGTATGATACGTGGATTTTATATTTTACCGATTTACAACAAAAGAACTTTGAGTTGCAAAGTTAAAAATCGCGTGTAATACAAGTTGAAAATGATATTTGCCCCACTTTTTTTTATTATGATTGCCTTTATTTTTTGCAATCAAACTTCAAACAATCATAATTATTATCAATAGAATAAATTTAATAATAAATTATCTAATTAAGATTACACGTACGATTGGGTTAATTAAAATAAAATAAATATTAAACACAAAATTACAGTATGCATTGGGACTACAGAATAAAATTATAAAAAAACAAACACAAATGTAAAATGCAAATTAAAACTATATTTAGAAAAAAAAGTCTCACCTCTTTCAATAAACATTTGTCATTACTCGTTATCATATATCGTGAACCTTTAACATCGCTTTGCAAAACATGAAAAATCATCAAAACTACCACACAATTTAACACACAATTCAATAACCCAATTTCAATGATTAAATCAGAGCTCAATCTAAAAGCTCGTAAATCTAAACTCAAACAACAAGATAAATTATATTTCTCTAATCAATGTTATACTTATTATATTTTATCTCATTATTATTCTACTTGTTCATACTATTTTCAATCTAAATGCAATATATTTTTACTTGTTCAATCACCCAATATGATATTTTATTTTGTTCATCAATTCATTTACCTTCACAATGTTGGATTATTAATTATCATAAAATTTTTTGCTGGCTGGTTTAAATAATGATAAATAATTAATTAGCCTTTTTTTTGTTATAGTTTAGTGTTTAATATTTCAGGAGAAATTATTAAATTGCTGTAATATTGAGTAAAATATAATATGCTCTCTATATATAATTCCCGAATGCGCTGAGCCTACATGACTACTTCTGGTGCTTCGGAATTCTACCTGGCAAAGAACCATGCTTCGTAATTAGGTTTTGACAAATAATATTGATATATTAATAATTAATAATTTAGGTTTGGACATTCCATATATATTATTTAACTAACTTAGGTATTTTAATATCACTTGTACTAATATAACCCTTTAATTCCTTGTAATTTTACATAGTGAGACACTAAGTGACTAATATATCCCTGACTTTTGATTTGTTTCCTTCAATTAGCTATTGAATTGTAAATGTATTTTAAAAGTTGATAACTTTTGTATTTCTTATCGGTTTTACATATATAATATACCAAATTAATCATCTTTTGATGATCTTCGATTTGCCGTCCATATTGTATATATTGAAATAAAAAAATTATATTTATATTTATAATAATAAAAAATTGTTATATTTATTAAAATTCATTAGAAAAATAAAATTATTTCTCAATTGATATATTTATGTTTAATGTAGTTATATGTTGTAAGTTAAAAAAATTATTATAATATAACACAAGTAAGTCGCACAAATAAAAAATATCATACTAAATATTTATAAAAAGTATTTAAATTTTTAACTATTTTTTTTCATTAATTATAGATTTTAAGAACAAAAATAGCAAGCACTCGTGTAATATACTAGAGTTGTTCTAGTAAAAGCTTAATAATGAAAAAAAAAAAAATATCCGAAAAGAAACAAAAATTAATTGCGAGGGAAATGAAAAATAAAATAAAAAATTGGCCCAAAAGTTCGTTTCCCGTCTCCCCGACACGAAGCGCAGCCGTGCTTTGCCTTGATCGCTCCATTTTCCCATCAGTCGCGACATCCCCCAAACCCTAATCCTTCAGCCGACAATGGCGAAGAATGACGTCACCAGAAAAGAGCTACTCGAGCGATGGGGCGTCATCGAGCAGGAAGACGACGGCAACGACGCCGTTTCGAATTTCCACCCCGTCAAGCGCCGCCGCCTCCGCCAGCTGAAAGAGCGGTGGTTTTCGGACGCCTTCAGCTTCCTGATATATCTACCGAAAGAAACCCACGTTTGGTGCGGCTATTGGGACCTCATGGGACCTCTATTGGAGACATTCTACAACTATTTCAAGGACGAAGGCCGCGATTCTCCTCTCAAGCTATTGTGGAGTAGAATTTCAGAGGAGATGAGGAGCTGCACTCTGTGCATTCACCAGCACCACCAGGCGCAGGAGATGTATGCGTCGGAGTACGAGCAGAGCTGTATTAGTCCTCTGCTGGATGTGCTGCGCGTGCTCGATGAAGAACGGATAAGCTTGCACCTCGTGGATCTTAATGCTAGGATAGTGACAGGGGAGTACGATACAGATCGTGATTATGGTGAAGTTGTTAGTGTTATGTTTGAGGTATATATTTCCACACTTAACTTTGGGTTTGCCTTTCTTTCATACAGGAGTAAATTGCTTCATACGACCGTCTCTGTTAGAGTTGGTCTGACTAATGTGAATACTGTGCTATATATTCTGCTGTGGCAGCTCTTGAGGATTACTTCTTTCATGGAAAATATTATCGATAACATGTTTATGTTGCAAGCAGGGTGGGTTTTTTTACTACTTGAGAAATATTGTATTGTAACAACAAACTACACCTAAAACAGACAGAAATCAACTTTGGCAAAGTAAATTGCATAAATTCCGTAAGAAGCTGCTGAACTTCAGATGGAAATTGCACTGCATTTGTACTGAGGAAAGGCCAACAGAATTTCACTAGATATGAAAATCTTTATATATGACAAAACAAACATATCTAAATTCATCTGGACGCCTTTGTGAGAAAGAAAAAAATTATGATGAAAGTTGCGTCGTACAATCAAACATAAACTAGTCACACCAGCTTGGTAGAGCATAATTAGATTGTGACTAGCTGATGTGAGTATTGTATAGAAATGTTCCCCTAAAGTAAGGGGTTCTTAGCTCTAATGATCGGCTTGGGACTTTCAATATTAGTCTATTGCTTCCTTTTGATTTTTGTAAACAGCAAGGATTTGTCTTTATGTTATAATTCCTAGTACTATGGTGAACAAGTTAAAATGTGGCTGTAACTGTAAGTATATTTTTTAAGAGTGACGCCAATGGCCAGTGTCCCATATGAAGTTTATCAGCACTATCATCTGTTGCAATCTCATTTTTTTTTAATATTGTTATTATCTTTTTTGTGCGTGTGATTCACCTGCGGTTTGTGTATAGATATAGACTAAGCTCCGGAGGTCTATCAATTCAAGTATCTGAATCAATTCACCAGTAGCACCTGTCTTAATAAAGCTGCTGCATTCATCAAGTTTCATTTATATAATTTAAGATGAAATTATTTGTTCCATTTACCACCTCTCTATTTGAAAAACGCCTTCTTTTATTTTCTTATTGGAACATGATACGAGGGATCGATATAATTTTGTGGAGAAGACTGAGAAGTTATATATTTCTCCAAATTGAGCATTTCACGCACATGTATCTCTATAATTTAAGCCCTAAAACATGGATATATCCTGACATTACTCTTGCTGAGTAGATTGGGTTTCACAACTTTCCTCATTGCATATATGGCCTCATATACTGATTTTATTTATTTTTTAATTGAACAAAGGTATTGACGTTTCCCATCCTGTTGGATGACCTCTCCTTGGCCACGGAGTTTCAAATTTTTATTGAAGCAGTTGATAATTCTCATGAATTGACATTAGATGGACATCAACAATACCCGGTATGACCTAAAAAATATCATCTTCCCTGGCTCTGTAGATTCTCTCTTTGATATTGGCACTCTGTTTTTCTAATCCAATCCTTCTTAATGTCTTCTCTTCATTTCTTATTGTTCAATAGGGAGTTTATGCGCTGCTCTTTCTCAAAAGCAGAAGAGTTCGATCTATTGGTCTTCGCTTGGCTGGACATATCGGTAAACTGAGGTACCATACATCCTTGCGCCGCAGTTTGATATATCCCTTGGTTTAATGACAGAGTTTAGCACGTTATATTTCTACCATGCCTCTGTAGTTAATTTTTATTTGTGTGGTGCATATGATATTAAGAGTGGATGCCGTATATTATGTTATCAAGTTCCTATAAGTTAATGCTAACTATAATTTTTTGAATATTTTTGAGATGTCATTCAAAGTGATGAAAAGAACAACTTCAGTGCGGTATGGTGATGAATTCGATATAACCTATTCTCTAGTGAGTAGTGCCTGGTTGGTTGGATGCTTAACGATGATCCAGTATTTGTTAATTTGTATGTTAAATTTCTACATGCCTTAAGTCTGAGTATTCCTACCACTGCTTGAACAACATTTCATGTTTTCTCCAAACGTTGTAATGTGAGAAGTATATGTGGTCTCATTAAAGCTGTCCGACATATTATCTGTTAGCAAGTATTTTGTGACATTTTAGCTGTATCGATACAGTCTATGACTTGAAATTGATACATGTTAAATATTGGTTAAATCTTGAATGTTGCCGTCTACGTTTTAAAGGTCATGAAAAAAATCACGGTACTCAACCAAAAGTCAGAAGTAGAAGGCCTTAAAAACTATGTTACTTCTTCTTTTTTCATTCAGGAGATCATCAGATTTGGAACCATTGCAGCATTTACTTAAGAAATGCATTTGCATATTAGAAACAGAGGGCGTGCAGGTAGCTGCTGAGACATCAAGGCCGAGGGTACAACTGGATCGAATAACTGTATGGCTTGGAATGAAAGCACTGTAGGAAGCAGCTAGTTACATTTTTCAATAAGTGTGTACCCACCCTTTTATCATTGTTAACGACATTTTCCATTTTCATTTGAAGGGTTGGGTTCTTAGAGCCTCCAGCATTTGAGGAAGGGATTTTAGATCGGTATCCCATTTTCCTTAGTATTGTGCTCAACCATATTAGTGATGATTCACTCGAGTTTTCTCATGCGGTTAACTGCCTGAGACTACTGTTTGAGAAGCTTGGTATATGATGATTGTCTTGCATTGGTAGCTTTATGTACATAAACTTTTGGCGGCAGTTTTCTCATGTCTTTATTGAACAGGATGTAAACTATGGTTGAGGGCTACATTGTCTCCTAGTGTTATGAGAAATACACTTCTGGGGCAGTGTTTTCATACTCGAAATGAAAAAAGCCATAAAGAAATTTTTGATCTTTTCCAGCCTTTTCTGCAGGCACGTATTTATTTTGCTTGAAGTTTTTCACCAAGTTCTTCCCATCTTACCGTTTTCTTTATTTTGCAGAGATGTAGGTGTTGTCATATTCTTCACAATTTTTTCTTTTGTTCAATCCTTACAGTCTCTTGAAGCTCTTCAAGATGGAGAACACGAAAAACAAAGAAGGCATTTCTTATACTTCCTCCTGCATCAAGTGCCTGTGAGCAGTAATTTTAGCACCTTGATGAGGAAAAAGGCTTGTCAGGTCATTCTTCTGTACTCTATCGTAGTGCATGTTGTTTTGGCTCCCGGCAATATTCATCTCTGTTTTTCTCTTTTGTTTATGCAGATTGCCCTTCTTATTGTTCTCCGAGGTTACATGATGGATCCACCGTGCCCACCTTCTGAATGTGCACATATGTGGTATGCATCTTTTGGGAACATGTAATCAAGCTATTTTATAAATGTGTGGGCAAATTGTTAGCAACCAGTTTAACTCTCATGTGTTGCACATACTTTTACCAAATGATACCATTAAGTTATTTTTTTGTAGTTATAAACATTAAAATCTATCAATCACAAGTAACTGTAAAAGAATTCTGAGGATCAAGATTGCTCTAATCCTATAGGTTACTAACTATACACAATAGTCATAGGAATTCATGCTGTTACACAATACATGTATTAAAATATTAAGGTGTTCTAAAAAGTTAATAAACTAACTTAAATAAGTTGTGTCAAAACATGTAGCAACTAAATTAAGGCAATATCTTATGGATTTGTTAGTATTGTGTATGTTATTTGAAAATATTTAATAACCATTAAGAATTTTTAATTGCCGTGTAACTATTTTGAGATAACTTATCTCACTTTTTTTTTGGTATAATACTAAGGTTTTGGAAAAAACTGTTTAAATATATCGGATGTTAAAAATAAAAAGCGAAAAGTTTGTTCCGTTCCACTTTCTACAATCGAGCATAAGCCCTCTTCTACTTGCTTTTCTTCCGTAGTAGCTTCACGTCCTCCCGGCTCTCTCTACGCGTGATCCGGGAATACCACCTATCAAGTGTGCATCTTTCTCACTATACAACTCCTGGGCCGTTTGGTAACTATTATATTAGTCTTCCTCATGCGAATGACCAAGGAAATATAAGGAGTTACTTGGAAAACAAAGGTTTTATTTAGTATTTATAAAAAATGTAATTAGTGTTAGATATTAATGATATTAGAAAATCAATGCGTAGGATACTTTTATTGGGTTGCTCATGTGTTGTCTGAAGCACGAGAAGTAGAAGCATGAAACGTGTATGCCAAAGTATGCAAAGCTGACACATAGTCTGTGTATATTCTCAATCAGCACATAAGCCATAACAGTTGATTACAAGTTAATGGATTTTGAATACTATTTGTGCTAATGATAAAAGGTTGAATGGGTTCTCTGTTTCTGTTTGCTGTTACCTCTATAGGGGCCCATCTTTGGTGTCTTCCTTGAAGGATTCATCACTGCACACTTCTCTTCGTCAACCTGCAATAGATCTTATTCAAACTATTATAGTTTCTGATGCTTGTGCGTTCATCTCCGTCATTTTGAACGGTCAGTTGCATCCAAGTGATAAACCTGTCAGACCCACTAATTGTGATGTGGATGACGATGAAGAGATTCTGTCTGGATTTCACATTGAAAAGAAGGATGATAGTTGCTGGAACGAGTTCATGCTGCAGCATAAAATAATCTCACAAGTTGATGGGAGTTGGATGTGCGTACCCATGTTATGGTTTGATGTTTTGGTGGATACTGATCCATTGGTTCTTCCAGTATCCTTCTCCAAAGCCACTTTTTGGGCGTTATCTAGGTTTTCCCTGATTGAGCCTGAAAATAGCTCAGAAATGACTCTTTCTGTTAGAAATTGGTTGGCAACCTGTGCTTCAGAAGTTTCTTATCTTTTCGGGTGGAAAGTTCCCTCTGGTTCCGATGATGGTGGAGATGGAACAGAGTCGAGGAACTCTATTAGAATTTCAACTATGTGCCTGCCTTTAGTTAGAACATTTAAGAGGTTAGTGTCTTGTATTAGCTCCTTTTTGGTTTTTCATGTGATATGAACATCGTAGTTTGGTGTTTTTTTTTTTTTTTTTTTTTTTTTTTTTTTCCTGTGAAGATTGAGTTAAAGAGCGGAACCATCTGGACAAATAACGCAGGTTAACTGCTCATTACATTATTAGAATGGAGCAAGGAGAGCTTAGGAAGCAGTGGATTTGGGAACCGATGATGAGCAACAGTTTGATTCTCTTTCTTGTGGATCCTAATGATGTAACTGTTATTTATCATTTTGATGTGCTTTGTGTTCAACACAAGAATAATTTTCCTTAATCACTGTGGCCCAATTTTATCTGATTGTTGTAGAATACCAGGCAAGTGGGTAAAATAATCCTTGAACAAATTTCAAACCGGCGTGGCCTTACTTCTGGTCTGCAATTCCTTTGCTCAATTCCATCTTCGTTGTTTGCTGTTCTTCTAGGATTGACACACGCCTTGAAATTGGTAAGTTGCAGAAGTGGGACTGGTTATTCTTTTAGCGTTGAGATTAACATTAGTTAAGGTTAGCAACAAAATGTCTTCAATTAAGGCGACCTGACATCAATTACTTGCATGTTCATATCTATCTTGTCTATACGGATTTTACTGGATGCTGGAGCACTTCTTCACTTTGATAATAGAGATAAGTAAGCTTCGAAAACTGATCGGGGCAGTTCGTCCTTTGTTGTTTTTGAAGTTTCTCCTTTAAATGATACATTGTTAGATATTTCTCAAGTAATTGGTTGACTGACCACTCGGTTGTCATCTTAATGTTATAAACCAGTTAGAAAGTAATTATTTTTTTGCTTACTGATGTTATTTTCTCTTCCATATTTCAGGTTCAGTTGGATTCTGTGCTGTCAAACTTTCAGACTTTACATCATCTCTTCTTCATCCTGTGCAAATTGCTCAAAGAAGGGAATTCATCTTCTCAGACGATGCAAAAATCATCAGGTGTTACTGAGGCTTCTAGATTCTCTGAGCAAGGGGGATTTCTAGTGCAACCTATACTTGATTCTTCACACACTGATGGTGATACACATTTTTCAATTGTTACCTCTGAAACATGGAAGAAGTTTAGCTGCTTACTCTCACAAGTTGCATGGCGTTCAATATTGAAATGCCTCGATGGAGGCAAGCCATTCACGGATTACTCAGTATCTCAGGTCCTCATTGTACTACTAATATTTGACATTTATGTTTTTCGATGTTCTGTTTAATTCTGCACTACCTTGGGTCTAATTATGCATACAGTATGACCTTTTTTAGCATTTCTGCGCGTGGGGAGTTCTATATCCGTATAAATGCATGTATCAGCTGTGATGATGACACAAACCATCCAAGTCCCAAGTAAAACTTTCCAGGAGCGTAGTAGTGTCTTGTTTTCGATGGGTGTTAGTTGGACTATGTAATTTGTCACTTTAGGTTATTTGACTCTTCGGAGTGGATCTTGGTTAATCAATAATCACACGTACTTTAATTTCTTGCTCCCTGAACTGAATTGAGCTGTCTTACAGTTGAAGCCCAACAACTTGTCTCTGTTTCTTGTTTCAGATGACGTGTATCCGTTTGCTTGAAGTTATGCCTATTGTTTTTGAAAAGCTTCCCGATAATTCTGTTACGATGTTGAAAGCTTATGACAGCTTGAAGTGGCTTCATGATTTGGCTGATTGGGGGAAGTCATCACTTGCTGTTGTGAATAGATATTGGAGACTTACACTGACTTATTTGCTTGGTCAATTTAGAGCATCCTGCAGTAACAAATCTGCTTCAGCAATTAGAGATATTGAGAAACTTGTTTCACATGGTTGGTTTTTCAATTTAGTATTGACCTGTTTATTATAATCCACAGATTCTACTATAATAGTTACCTTTCTTTTAAGTGCAGAAAAGGTTTCTATGGATGAACTGAGCAAGCAAGTAGCACGGCTTTCTGTTTCATTAATAGATGAGAATTCCGCACTGAATAAAAGCCACCCTTCGGAAGAATCTGAAATTTTAGTAGTAGATGCAGCAGAAAGGATACGTTCTGAAGCATTGGCAGACTTGGATGGAGGCCAGGTCATAATTCTTTCTGATGATGAGAATGAAACAGAGGTTTCTACCAGTATGGGGTTCTCTAACAGGCAGTCAATCGCAAGTGCATATGATGATAACCATGTTGATGCAAGATATGCTGGGGAGTTAGAAGCTGACCCGAAGGAAAAAGAATCTGGAAACCATTATACTGGTCATTTTCTTGAGAAAGTGGGCTCAGATACTAATACAAGCATACAAACGATTCAGTCTCCTGTTCAAGCCAAGCCATCAGAGAGCAGGAGAGAGGAATTTGGTTTTGTTAAAAAACACTGTGTAGCCGATTCCTTCCTGTTGAAAGACAATTCAAATTTGACGAAGATATCTGATCGAACTGTCAGTTCAAAACAAATACCTTCTCATCAGTATTCCAGTAGCAAGACCTTCGATACAACTGTAACTCCCTCAAGCAATGTTAGGAAGGTTGCAGATAAATCCTTAAAAACGAGAGATGAAGTCTTAAAAGAGATAGTCAGTGATACTGATGGTGAGGCGTGGAACTTTGCATTTTTCAAACCACCAAGACGTCCGCAGACACTTATTACAAAGCCAAACACTTCTGGTCCTAAACGACAAGTTATCCAGCTTAGCCTACCATTGGGGAACAGACCTGGTTCCATGAGGATGGGTGATAAAGTGAAAAGATTTCAGCCCCCCAGGCTCGATGACTGGTACAGGCCCATCCTAGAGTTGGATTTCTTTGTGGCAGTTGGATTAGCTTCTGGAGATGGTAAGGAGAACCAAAATGTTGGCAAATTGAAGGAAGTCCCTGTGTGTTTCCCGTCACCTGATGGGTATGTTGAAATCTTCAGACCGTTGATTTTGGAAGAATTCAAAGCCCAATTACAGAGTTCTTACCAGGAGATGGCTTCATCAGAAGAAATGTGCTTTGGAAGTTTATCTGTGCTGTCAGTTGAGAGAATTGATGAGTTCCATGTTGTTCGCTTTGTACATGATGAAAGTGGGTCCACTGCATCTAAAAGTTTGTTGGAAAATGATCTTATATTGCTAACCAAACAACCTTTGAGGAATTCCGTCGTTGATGTTCATACTGTTGGAAAGGTATTTCATGTCTATATTTAATTAACTTTGGTTCTTTACTTAGCTTGCATGTGTGGTTATCTTATTTAGGAGAGATTAGTTATTTGCATTATTTTTGCTCTTTTAATGGGCGTTTCTACAAGTTGCCAAATTTTCGCTTTAGAGGGAGTTATTTACTGAAGTTACTCTATTGACATTGTTTACATGGATTTCATTTATTTTTACTCTTACAAGCGAGGTTACCTAAATTAGTTTGTGCATGTCTTGTTGTCTTGTTCCCTTCTTCATTGTGTGTTTGCCACGAATTGACTAACCAGCTTACTCGGTAATGTGACCAAAAGATCCACTAGCTAAGTGATGACCTTTTGAAATCTGATACGAATGATCTAACTACCTTAATCACTAGCACTTGTTTTTCTTTATTATCAGCTGGAGATCTTGCTAATTGTTTTGTGGTGCTCACGGTATGTGGATTAATTGCTTATGAACTTGACCAATTGATCCAATCTGTTTATAGGTTGAGAGGCGTGAAAAAGACAATAAGAAAAGATTAAATATCTTGGCGGTGAGACTGTATCTTCAAGGATGTTCTCGTCTCGATCGAGCTAGAAAATTTCTCACTGAAAGAAGCAAGTGGTATGTTAGTCGTATTATGAGCATTACCCCTCAACTTCGGGAATTCCAGGCGTTGTCATCGATAAAGGAAATCCCATTGCTCCCAATCATCTTGAATCCTGCCAATCATGCTTGTGGTGAATCAAAAGTCGGAAATCTTAGTAAACTTTCTCAATCACTGCAGCAGATTTTTAGGACGTCATATAACGACAGTCAGCTGCAGGCTATTAGTCTTTCTATTGGTCCTTTTGACTTGAAGAAGGATTTCGAGTTGAACCTCATTCAGGGACCTCCAGGTGCTTTGTTTTCTTTGTTTCCTTCCCACACTTGCATTATATATTTTTTTTTTCTTTGAACCTCATTCAAGGATCAATTTCATCTTTTATTATATATTTCTCCTGCATTTTATTCTGAGTGAGTATACTTTTGTGCCAGGAACTGGGAAAACTCGTACAATTGTTGCTATGGTTAGTGGTTTGCTTGCTTTCTCCCAAATGGACTCCAGAAGAGTACGCAATTATGAATCAATGCCCACCAGTAGTAGTTCTAGGACTAACCAAAAGGTTAGTCAGTCTGCTGCGATTGCAAGGGCTTGGCAGGATGCAGCATTGGCTAGACAATTGAATGAAGATGTAAAAAATAATATGTCTACCGGAAGCTGCAGCAGAGGCCGAATTCTCATTTGTGCTCAATCCAATGCTGCAGTTGATGAGCTAGTTGCAAGAATTTCCAGTGAAGGTCTTTATGGATGTGATGGACAGATGTTCAAGCCATATCTTGTGAGGGTTGGCAATCCAAAAACTGTTCATTTAACTTCTCTCCCATATTTCATTGATACACTCGTTGAAAATCGTCTTGCGGAAGAAAAGAAGAACGCGGGCGATGAAAATAGTGCAGACTCTTTAACCATAATCCGTTCTAATCTAGAGAAGTTAGTTGACCGCATACGATACTACGAAGCCAAGAGGGCTAGCTTGGAGGAAGGGAATTCTGACTCTAAAATTCTAGTGGAAGGAGATGGTGGAGATGCCAAGGTATTGTCTGATGCTGATCTAAAAGTGAAGCTAAGGCAGTTGTATGAAAAGAAGAAAGCAACATATGCAGATCTTGCCAGTGTTCAGGCAAGGGAGAAGAAAGCCAATGAAGAAATGAGAGCCCTAAGACATAAACTTAGAACTGCCATCTTAAAGGAGGCTGAAATTGTGGTGACTACACTAAGTGGTTGTGGTGGAGATGTATATACAGTGTGCTCTGAGCATACATCAGGCCATAAATTCATTAACGTATCTGAAAATGCTCTGTTCGATGCTCTTGTGATTGATGAAGCAGCTCAAGTACTTCCTTTTCCTTTTGTGTTTTATCCTTATTTGCTTTCTGGAAATTGTGTTTTGATTTTACCTCTTTCCAGGCCCTAGAACCCGCCACTCTTATTCCATTTCAGCTCCTAAAATCGAGGGGATCCAAATGTGTCATGGTGAGCAGTTGAAAGGGTTTTGACATCAATTTTTCTTTTTTTAAGAATGCCTAGTATCATTAACCTGGGAAATTGTTTTCGTAAGGTTGGTGATCCGAAGCAGCTTCCTGCCACAGTCCTCTCAAATGTTGCTAGCAAATACTTGTTTCAGTGCAGCATGTTTGAAAGATTCCAAAGAGCAGGTCATCCCGTAATCATGCTCACTGAACAGGTAGTCTCGATATCACTATTATTTTCTTCCGAATATACGATTTCTTCCAACGGCAAACCTCCACTGCATTTTTAGTTGCCAGCTGTATGCACTTCATGTCAAAGATAAGTACAGAAATACCATAGCCTTTTGATTACAGCAAATTATAACCTTAAATGGAGCAATGGGCTTGAAAATATAGCAATTCCATTTAAAGCCTTTCTATATTTACTCTTACTAGGAAGATGCACGTGCTACGCACGTGGTATTTTTTTTTCAAATTATTTTTAGTATTAGGTTTATATTTAAAAGTATAATATAATTTTCTTTCATTTAGTTTAACAAAAAATGGTGTATTTTATTGAATAATGAAATATAGTATTTAATACTATTATCTAAACTCTATGATGAATAAAATTAAAAAAAAAAAAACATTGGGTTGAAAACCAAAAATAAAATTAATATTTTTTTAGTGAAAATGTAAATGCTAAAAAAAATTATAGTCTTTGATTTTGTTATTTAATGATATCTTCATTGTGCTTAAAATAATGATCACTATTATTGTCTTCATAATATAGCTTTCTAATGTCATCCTTTTACATCATACTCTTTGAAAAATAACTCAAATTTGCTATAACTATAATTTATAATGATTTTTTTTTATTTATTGTCGGTTGGAAGCTAACAAACTATGTCTAAATAATTCGTTCTCAATTATTTTGATTACGGTGGTTGCAAGTGTAATTATATTTGCAAGTATAATATTTCATAATACTTAGATATATATAGTTATTCCCTAGTCATAATGATATAAGAGATACATAAATATTTGAAAATGTCTTTAATTCAAGTCGTAATTAACTAATTATTTCAAAAAGAAAATTTACTTGAAAAGCATAGGAATAATAACATTTTTATTGATTAAAGCTACCTATCTATCTATATATCTTTTCCGACATAAATTATTGTTGCATCTCCTAACATTGTCATATATCCATTATCTTCATTCTCGAATTTTCAAGACTATCCTAAATGTGAATAATTACTAATTCCAGTTTAAATGAATTATGTAATGATGATTCCTTCATATTTTATTTTTATCTTAACATTATTTATATCTTCGTCAACATTTCATCCCTACCTTTGCTTAAAATAATTATCATTGATATTGTCATCAAATATAGTTTTCTAATGTCATCCTTTTGCATCATACTCTTTGAAAAATAATTCGAATTTGTTATAACTATATCATTTTTTTATTGTAGATTGGAAGCTAAAACATTATGTTTGAATAATTCATTCGCAATTATTTTGATTACAGTGGTTGCAATTAGCCATATTTGCAAGTATAACATTTCATAATACCTAGATATATATAATTTTTCTCTAGTCATAAATATAGTGACATAAGAGACACATCAATATTTGAAAATATTTTTAAAGTCATAATTATTTCAAAAAAAATAGTTATTGATTAAAGATACTCATCTATCTACATATCTTGTCCAACATAAATTATTGGTGCATCTCCTAAAATTGTCATACATGCATTATCTTCATTTCCAGATTTTTAAAACTATCCTAAATGTGAAAATTTAATGAGTCTAGTTTTAATGAATGATTCATATTTAAAGTAAATTCACTATTTATTTTTATTCAATTAATTTTAATTGTAACTATTTTCTAATAAGTACACGTATTATAAAATTCAAGATTTAAAATAGAATTTTAGATTATTTTATTTTTGTAATTAATCTATTTTTGCTTATATTACAATTCAGTAAATGCTATTTTAATTCATGTAACACATTATTATAAAAAACATATATACTATACATACTATTAAGAGGTAAACATAAATCATATTATGCATATTGTTTTAGTGAATAATTTAAACAAATATTTATGTTAAGATTATATATTTTTTTTTACTTAACAAATAACTTTTTTACGTAGAAAGTTGACATTTTGTATGTTGAATAATTATATTTGATTCAATTATTCTTAAACATATGCATGTTCACTAAATTGTTCTTGTTTAATTGTTTTAATACTATAACCAAAAATTTATATGGTAAACAATATAATATTTAGAAATTAAAGATGATACTTTTAGTGATGCATTATATATTTCACACTTATGAAATATCATATATTTTATTTAAGAAATCTTAAAATAATTTTTTCTCTTACATTTTAAAAGTGCCTTTAAAATAACCAATTCGAAACCTAACATCATATGTAGATTAATTCAAAATAATATAATTAAGAATAAATTATTATTTAAAATATATTAATTTGTGTAGATAATGTTTTGTATGTGTAAGAACTTAAAGATATAAGTAAGCATCAAAATAAAATATAATAATTAAAAGTTGTAACTTCCTAACATGAATAAGAAAATTACGTTAATAACCTTAACACTTATCTTTTTATGAGGATATTCTTGGCAATTCAAAAGTTTCAAGAAACAACTCATACTTTTAAGGGAGTTATAGATTATAGATAAAATAACCAATTCGAAACCTAACATCATATGTAGATTAATTCAAAATAATATAATTAGAATAAATTATTATTTAAAATATATTAATTTGTGTAGATAATGTTTTGTATGTGTAAGAACTTAAAGATATAATTAAGCATCAAAATAAAATATAATAATTAAAAGTTGTAACTTCCTAACATGAATAAGAAAATTACATTAATAACCTTAACACTTATCTTTTTATGAGGATATTCTTGGCAATTCAAAAGTTTCAAGAAACAACTCATACTTTTAAGGGAGTTATAGATAGATAGATCTTCTGATAGTGGCAAAGCTATCCTTTTAAGTAAATCCTGAACTCTGTTACTTGTATCTACTTAATCTTTCATTCTAAAATAACCCAAAATTGTTCATGCATGGACCAGTATAGAATGCATCCGGAGATATGCCGATTTCCTTCTTCCCATTTTTATGAGGGCAAATTGCTGAATGGAAAACACATGACTGGGAAAACTGCATCTTTCCACGAGACGTGGTGCCTTGGCCCGTACGTTTTTTTCGATATTACAGATGGGCAGGAGCTTCGTGGAAAGAATGCAGCGTCATTATCTCTGTACAATGAGTCTGAGGCGGATGCTGCCGTTGAGCTGTTACGATATTTTAAGAAGAGGTACTTCATCCATCATCTCCCCGACTCTGGGAACTCTCCTATTAAACGGTTTAATGTTCAATCAGTCCCCTAGAGCTAATTTCTGACATACAATCAATTTAAGAAATACCAAGAAATGGAAAACACTAAAGAAAACTGAAATAACAAAAATATAAAAAAAAAAAGAAACTAATTGAAAAATGGAAATTAAAATATATTAAAACCCAAACCCCCCACACCCTGAATAACTAGAGAATCCAAAAACTCCTAGAATTCTGGAAAACCTTCGGAAATACGAAGGAGACTAAAAATATGGTATTAGAACCCAAAAAGTTGACAAATAGCATTAAAAAGTTGATTTTGTTTTGCTCAGTTTGACGGCTTACTTTTCTTAAGGTGATTTGCCACAAGTTTTTGGCCCTCCGTTGTAACTGGTAAGATTGAAATACATGTTTATTGTTGACAGTCATCCATCGGAGTTTTACGGAGGAAGAATTGGCGTCATAACTCCTTACAAACGTCAACTATCCCTGCTACGTTCACGGTTCTCAAGTGCATTTGGATCCTCTATGGCAGATGATATGGAATTTAATACTGTTGATGGCTTTCAAGGCCGTGAAGTTGACATTCTGATCCTTTCTACTGTTAGAGCATCAGGTTCGGGCTCTGAAACACCTGGCTATAGCAACCTTGGGTTCGTCTCTGATGTCAGACGGATGAATGTTGCTTTGACTCGGGCCAGAATCTCTCTGTGGGTCTTTGGTAACGCGAAAACACTGCAGGCTAACCGGAGCTGGGCAGCCCTCGTGGATGATGCAAAACAGAGGAACTTGATTATATCTGGGAGAAAGCCATACAGTTCCATCTGCAAATGTGGACCTGGAGGCAGAAGGGATGAACCCACTTTCAAATCCGGGAATACGCAGAAGAAGATCACGAAGCATGCTTCTGAAAGAACGAGGCAATCCACTGAGACAACCGTATCGGAGAGTGCCCGTACAGATGCCGGTAAAGACGATAACAAACGAGCTACTGAAGGGACAAATATCTCACAGGCAAAGGAGTTAGTTTCTGCTTCGGCTTCAGATAGCAGGAAAAACATACTGAAGGGCGCAACCCTAAAGTTGGACGAAAACCGAGAGAAAACTGCAAAAAGTTATGCGGGCAATAGTGAAGAAAAACCATCTACCATGGAAAAAGGTTGTGATGATAATAGGAGACACTCGGCTAATTACATAGGAAAGGCGAAGAGTAAAAGCCAGAAACACCAGAGTCCTGTATGTGATGACACAAGATTGAAACCCAATAAGCATGACAAGCCACCTGGGGCAAGGACCGCCACATCATCCTCCGAGAGAAGTATCAAGGAGAAGCGCGAAAGAGGAGATTCTAATGAAGTTGATTTACGTAAAGACTCTATCATGAAAAGGAAGCAGCAACGAGAAGCCATTGATGCTCTCCTGCCATCGGCTCTTATATCTTCAAGGAAATCCGAATCTTTGGCAAAATCAACTGTGAAGAGGACTCGTCCGGCAACAGATCCTGGTGCTCAGCCAGTCAGACCCCCGAAAAGAAGAAGTGGTCATGACTCATCCGTCTCTTAGTCTTTGTCTTTTGCGACAGTACGAGTTTTTTGCCTGGTTGATTGTCTGGCACTGGGAAAATTGGATATACATTTTGGTCTAAGGTACAGTGATTTTGACCGTAATTTTTCTTATCAGCAAGTGACTCCGATTTTAGCTTGGAATACATATCTTCGGAACTGCTATTGTGGACATTCCCTTGATTTGCTTGCCGGGCATCCTATTCCGTCAGAACTTGGTCTTATTCATGAGCTCAAGTTTGTTAGCCAGTGTTGTGGAGATCACTGTTGCATGTAGGAGTCTTCAGTGGGCCCATTCAAATTTTCTTATGCATCTCAAAGCGTATGATATCTCATTTGTATCCAAGGAGTTTCGAGAAGCCCTGGACCTCTGAAGGCACCATTTTGGGATGGCGAAAGGCACTCGGTGCTGTATCAGATAGTATATTACTTGTGTAACACATATGGCTTCCTCACTTGTTGGTCGAAAGGTAACTGTATTTTTATTCCCCCAGTTGCGTAGTTAATCGGTACATAATTAACGTATCACCAGGTAATCGATCTTTAGCATTGTTCGTTAGTGCATGTAGCGTCGTTTATGCTATAGACTGCTCTAAAAGAACATATTTTCTCTCTTTTTTGGCCATGAAGTGCATGCTTTTGCTCTTTACATATTCACAAAAATTGTCATCTCAAATTGTTTTTACGTTTTTAACAAAAATTAGTACGTAAAAAAAAAATTAATCATCCCTAGTTTGACCAACAGTTTTCAGTTGTAAAGTGATAGTTAGAATAATCATGTGTAATTAATTCCTCATTCCTCGTTCTTTTTCTCTGATTAGTTCAAAATATTATTTCCTTTATTTTAGCTAGGAATATAAATAGACTGAGCGTGACGTGAGTACCAAGGTGTACTAACATGTCCCTTTTGGTTTTGACTTTGACCTTTGAGATGAAGAGAGTTGGATCACGTACGTACACTTAATTAAATCCTTTGATTAATTGTCTATGATTAGCAGCAGTATTTTGCTTAATTAAATGCTAATCACGAGAAGCCAACTTTAATTACTGATACTTCAAATACATAGAATTATTAGGGCATCTTCAATGGTAATAGTTATTACTAGCTATATGGTCAGCTGACGTGGATGTGAGTGATAAGAAAAATAACTATTTTACACTATTGGACCCACGTACTCCTCTCACATGATCTTGGGCTACGTGAAATAGATAAGCTATTTGTTAGTAGCTAGTGACTACTCTCTCTCTTACTTTCCCCCTGTCCACGTCATAATAGTTAGCCAAATAGCCAACCATTGGAGACGCTTAGGGTGTCTCCAACAGTCCTAGCTAACTGCTAGCTAGAAGACATCCACGTCATGTATCAAATAGCAAGCAGTCTAGAGAGCTATCTATAATGCTAGCTATTTGTATTTTTAATACTTCCATGTATAGAGACAAACAACAGATTTATGCACCGTACTGTGTGCGAGATAAGCGACGGGCGAGTCGCCAGCTCAATTTTTTTTTGCATGTTCTCTTTCCTCCACATAGGATTAATGCTGACCTACACATGCAATCATTTCTAGAAATTATCGAAATTACTACTTGTAATTATTTATTTAGTGCTTAATTTTTATGATTGGGTGTGGCGAATCACATGGAAATCTTGTGTGCCATCTGCCACGATCTACTAAGCATTTTTAATACTGTATAGAAAAATAATAATAAAAAAAAAGGCAAAGTACATGAAGGTAGCAGAGATTAATAATGCAATGAATCATATGGCATTTAATTGTTTTTTTTTTCACAATTAGCAGAAAAATGAGTTCTGCAGAAGGGTTATTGAGAGAAGTCAACTTGGGATTATGATTCATTTTGGCAGCAAACGAATTATGAACACTACATTGACCATTTGGAGGGTGTCATCTTTTATGTGATCAGATGGATTTTTGAATTTTATATAAGCCCGAGTATTTTATTAGAGTTTTATAGATTTTATTCCCGTTGATAGATTTAATCCTTTGTTATTTATCAACTTTTGAAAAAAATTAACTATAACAAATGTATTACAAAAACGAAGTTGGATACATAGAACTTTTTCACAGTAGATAATTTTCTTTACTGCTCTCTTATTTCTTCTCATTATGCAAAAAAATAGGGCTTTCTATTTACTTCTCCTATTTCATCTACTTCATTTACCCATGCTTATATGTCTACCTAGGCTACAAATGAACCGAGCTGAGTTGAGCATTGGCCTTGTCAAGCAGGATTGCTTTTTTTCTTTTAGCTGCTCGAGTTCGAGCTCGAGCTCGTTGGGCTCGATTTATGAGGCTAGAGCTCAACTCGATAAATACGTACAATTGCTCGACTCGAAATCAAAATGCTCGAACTCGGCTATAAAATTTTTAAGTGAAAAAATAAAATTATCATTAAGCACCTATGCTATACTATTGTAATATGTATGTATATATATGGGGTATTTTAGTAATTCAGCATATATCTCGCGCCGCTCGACGAGCCGCTCGGCAATGCAAAATATGGGTTCAAGCTCGACTCGAGTTCGGTCAAACTCAAGTTAGAGTCGAGCTTTGACTCGAGCCGCTCGATTCGTTTGCAGCCCTTGTTACCGCACCAAATAAATTGGGTTCCGATGCCCAAAATCAGAAAAAAAAAAATATAAAGAAGAGTACTATAAAATCAAAAGGCAGTGTAATGAATGATTCAAAAAATTGGGAATACTTCCTCCTACGAAAAGAATCCTTTAGATCTCAAATCCTACCTTGTTATGATATCTAACAATCGTTTTAAGATCCTTGATCATATCAAAATAGACCTTTAGGTATTATGTAGTAAGATATCCATTTATAAAGTTGCTATATGATGTCTCATCACATTATAATTATAGTGTATAAGATGCTATTTATTCAATGTTATTAAGAGTGACATATAAAAATACTCTTTAGTTTTAAAATGATTGTCGTATTAGACTCTATCATTTTGCCAACAGATCCCAAATGATCTCTTACATTTAATTACTTGAAAAAAAAAATATTAGTTAGAGGGAATAATTATTAGCCACAAATATCCAAGTAGTATAATTTAGGAAGAACAAAATATTGATAATGGTTATATTAGTTAGTATATGAAGCTAAATATGCCTAACATGATGCTATATATTTAAAGAATTTTATAAGTACAATAATGCCTCTATACCTGACTTTGAAGTTTGAAGAGCTTTAAGTATTTAGCTAAATTATTCATTAAGTAATGGCAGATCTACAATTAGTAATAAACTAATTAAAAAAAAAAATTTACTTTAATTAATGGTTGGTGGTTTTTAGCCAGACAGCGGTGTGCACTAATCAAGATGAGCCACGATCTAATAATGGTTCAAACTTCATGAAAATGATACGGTCCCATTACGGAATCATTTCGTCAGAATTTGTAACCGTTAGATCATCATGTAACCGTCGTGGATAGTTGATCTAAGGTTACAAACCTCGACGAAATAGTTATGTAACGGGACCGTAGAATTACTCCAAACTTCAAACTAACAAGTTCCTATTAATACATTACCTATATATGAATTCAGAATATTCTAAGTGGCAGACTCGCATGCTTCGAGATTCTATGTAGCAAAATTACATGTTTCGGTATTAGGCTTGAGTAAATTTTAATTTACTTCCAATCCAAAAGTAATTAGGTCCGAATATCCATAAATATGTTAGTTATTTATGATCATATTACACGTATTAATTGCATTTTAATATCACTTTTATTATAACTATTTTATTTTAAAAGTTAACAACTTTTGTATCTTTTATCAGTTTTACATATATAGTATTTCAAATTAATCGTCTCTTGATGAATTTCGATTTAACATTCATATTGTATGCATAAAAAATAAATAAATTATATATATATTTATAACAATAATAAAATTAGTTTTTTATTATTAAATAAAAATAAAATTATTCATTAATTAATATATTTATATTTCAAATAGTTATATGATATAAGTTATAAACATTACTATAATATAACACATGTAAGTCACATAAGTTGGAGATGTAGCTCAACGGTAAAAAAAAGGGAAATAAAATATAAGTCGCATAAGTAAATGTGTCATTCTAAATATATAAAAATATATTTATATATGTATATTTGCAAAAAAAAAAAATAAAATTTAAATAATTTTTTTAAATTTTGTACCCGTGTGATACATGAATGTTGTACTAGTTCAATTATTTTCCATAGCAAAACCGACAAGACATCGGTTTTGCTATGAAGCCAACAGTTGACTCCACAGTGGAGCCAATTTTCTATATACAACAAATAAACTTACCATAGTAATAAAATTATATTAATGTTATTTAAGTAATGATATAACATGTTGTACTGTGCTAATTGTGGTAATTAACTAGTTAAGTGCTGCATGCTGTACTGTGCTGTCGCCATAACACAAGTTGTAGATTAAATTTATTTATAACGTTTGACTCATATAATAACATGGAATCTCTCCATTATTTTTCTTCCCTTTATTTTCCTTTAAATAATTGTTTTTTTGTCCTATTTTCACCATATATATATATATGTGTATATCATCATCATTTTGCATCTTCACAACAAATTCTCATTATCTTCCATTATAATTTCAAACTTAAACACACACACACACACACACACACACACACAAACATATCATATTCATAGTTTCATACACACAAATAGATGGACTCATCATCAAGAAAGTCCTCTAACAAGATTAGAGACATAGTTAGGCTTCAACAAATGCTCAAAAAATGGAAAAAACTCGCGAAAAACAACACGACGACACTTAACGATACCGGCAACAATGCCTCCTCCGGCACCGGCACCACCACCACCACCAAAAGCGGCGGCATAAAGTTTCTAAAGAAAACT